TGAAGAGTTAAGAGCAAAACGTTGAGAGAGTAGAACACAGGCTGCTCAGAAATGGGGATGAGTCCCTGAACCCCCTCCTGTGTCTCCCGCATAGCAGACTCTCGGACCAAAGCCTTTGTGTGTCTAGGCACACAGTGAATACCTTAGGTGGGACAGAAAACCCTGCTGCCACCATCTCTGGAGAGTAGAATCTGACAGCTAGGCATGGTGGCACACATTTATTTTACTATTGTTTGCTTGCTTGTTCGAGACAGGGTCTCACTGTGTAGCCCTGGCTGGCCTGGAACTCTCTATGTAGACCAGGCAGGCTTCAAACTCACAGAGATCCTCTTAACTTCTGCCTCCCAAATGCTGGGATTAAAAGATTGCACCACCATCACTGGTTTGGCACATATTTATAGTCCCAGCACTTGGAAGGCTAAGGAGGGGCAGTGCCAAGTTAGAGGCTAGCCTGGGCTACATAGCAAGACCTTATGTCAAGAAAGCAAAACAAAATATCCCTTTTGCCCTAAAAACAAAAAAGGGGGGGCACTTGGAATTCTGCCTTAGCCATGTATGTACTCCAGATAATACCATAATTATGAAATTTATTTATTGTTCTAAACCTGGAGTTTTGCCGTGAAGCCCAGGCTTGCTTGCCTTGAATTCACCATGTATTCTGAACTGGCCTCAAACTTGTGTCAGTCTTCCTGCCTGAACCTCCTCTCTAGGAAGTAGGGGGTGGCAGATCTTGAGCTGATGCAGTCTCTCCTTGGTCTTGCTTCCCACAGGGAACTTCCAGGCCGGCGAGGATGGTCGGATTCTGAAAGGTTTCTGTCAGTGTGAGCAGCGAAGCCTCGAACAGCTGATGGAAGACCCCCTGCGGCCTTTTGTGCCTGCTTATTATGGCATGGTGCATCGGGATGGGCAGGCCTTCAACCAGATGGAAGATCTCCTGGCAGACTTTGAGGGCCCCTCTATCATGGACTGCAAGATGGGCAGCAGGTGGGATTGGGGCAGCCATGGGACAATCAGGGTAGGTGGTGGGCCTTTTTGAAAATAGGGCTGCCGGGCGGTGATGGCACACGCCTTTAGTCCCAGCACTCAGGAGGCAGAGGCAGGGGGATCTCTGTGAGTTGGAGACCAGCCTGGTCTACAAGGGATAGTTCCAGGACAGCCTCCAAAGCCACAGAGAAACCGAGTCTCGAAACCCCCCCCCCAAAAATAAAATAGGGCCAAGTTAATTCAAAGTACGTGCATCATTGTGCCCTCCTACCAGTGGTTCATGAAGGTTCCAAGTGTACAGGCCTCTGTGAGGGTCCCAGGTGTGCCACTTGCTGTCCCAGGTGTGCTGGCCTCTGTGAGGGTCCCAGGTGTGCCAGCCTGCTATCCCAAGTGTACAGGTCTCTGTGAGGGTCCCAGGCGTGCCACCTACTGTCCCATGTGTGCTGGCCTCTGTGAGGGATCCAAGTGTGCAGGCCTGCTGTTCCTTCTTGGTGTCTTATTCTATCTTGGTATCACTTGTTTCATTAATTTAAACTACTGGATATATAACGGAATTTCATTGTGTTTGCTTATTTTTCTGTTGCTGGGTTTGTTTTTTTTTGGGGGGGGGGTTGTTCTGTTTTTTTCTTTTTGAGAGTCTCCTGTAACCCAGGCTGGTCTCAACCTGGCTATGCAGCCAAGGATAGCCTTGAGGGTGGGTCCTCCAGTCTTCACCTCCCTGGTGCGGTGATTACAGACAGATGACACCGTACTGTTTATGCTGAAGATCGAATTCTGGGAGCTTTATACATGCCAGGCTGTTAGTCTGCCAACTGAGCCACATTCCCAGCCCCTAAGCCAGCGTTTTCAATTATTAGTTCCTAGAGCTAAGGACTCACTTTGGTGGTAGTGGTTACTCAGTCAGTACTGTTTATGTTGGTGCTGGGAGTTGAATGTAGAGCTTTGTGATGCCAGGCAAGCCCTGTTAGTTAGCTAGCTACATCACTGAGCTACATCCGAAGTGTGATGGGTCTTGTTTGTTTTGCGTTTTACTTTTGTTTTTGAGACAGGATCTGTTGTTTAGCCCTGGCTGGTGTGGAATTCAATATGTAGACCCAGCTAGTCTCAGACTTAGCCAATCCTCCTGCCTCTGCCTCCTAAGTGTTACCATGGTAAATATACACCATCGTCTTGGTGAAGTTTCTGTTGCTGTGAAGAGACACCGTGACCACGGCAACTCTTAGAAAGGGAGACATTGAATTGTGGCAGCTCACTGACAGTTTCAGAAGTTCAGTCCATGTCAGGGAGCATGGCAGCACACTGGCAGACATGGTGCTGGCTGCATCTTGATCAGAAGGCAGTAGGAAGTCAACTGTGACACTAGGAGTAGCTTGAGCATAGGAGAACTCAAAGCCCACCTCCACAGTGACTTCCTCCAACAAAGCCACACCTACTCCCACAAAGCCACACCTACTCTCACAAAGCCACACCTACTCCAACAAAGCCACACCTACTCCCACAAAGCCACACCTACTCTCACAAAGCCACACCTACTCCAACAAAGCCACACCTACTCCCACAAAGCCACACCTACTCTCACAAAGCCACACCTACTCCAACAAAGCCACACCTACTCCCACAAAGCCACACCTACTCTCACAAAGCCACACCTACTAATAGTGCCACTCCCTTTGGGGGCCATTTTCTTTCAAAGCACCACAGCTACCATGCTCCATTCTCTCTCTCTCTCTCTCTCTCTCTCTCTCTCTCTCTCTCTCTCTCATTTTTTTATCATTTTCTGGTTATAAATTCTTTGTTTTACACACACACACACACCTACACATAAATTAAAAAATACAAGGAAAACTCAAATGAATAAAAATACTTGGGCTAAAAGTACTTATGTGTAGGGTGTTTTGCCTGATACATGCCTGCACCATGTGTGTGCCTAGTGCCCCAGGAGTCCAAAAGAGGGCATCAGATCCTCTGGAACTGGAGTCAGAGACAGTTGTAAACTACCATGTGGGTGCTGGGGATTTTTTTTTAAATTATGCGTGTGGATGTTGTACCTGCCCGTGAATTTGTGTGCCTTAAGTCCAAGGAGGCCAGAAGAGGGTGTTAGATCCCTTGGGACTGAAGCTGCGGACTCTTGCAAGCCACTTGGGGTGCTGAGCCTGGAACTTAGGTCATCTGGAAGAGCGCAACGCTCTTCACCACTAAGCCACCGCTCCAGCTCCTGGTCCCAAGTATTTTAGACAGGTGGCTGCCAAGCACCAATAAGCAGGTGCACTTTCTATTTTATCAGAGGGTCGTTTTTTTGGTGTTGTCGTTGCTAATGGCCTTGTGTTTGAAAAAACTTTCTTTGCCTGTTATAATAGCATGATACTGTTCCCTTGTTTTCTTCTGTTAGCTTTGTTGTTTTAACTTCTATAGTTTACTGGGTTTTTGTTTTGTTGTGAGACAGAGTCTCACTATTTAGCTCTGTCTAACTCACAGAGATCCACCAGCCTTTGCCTCCAAGTGATGGGGCGGCCTGCACCTGCACCCCATCAGGTAGTGTGAGCCTTCAAGTCTGCGCTTAACGGTTTCCTTGTCACATCCCCTGTGCTCAGGACCTACCTGGAGGAGGAGCTGGTGAAGGCACGCGAACGGCCCAGACCCCGGAAAGATATGTATGAGAAGATGGTGGCAGTGGACCCCGGGGCCCCTACTCCTGAGGAGCATGCTCAGGGCGCGGTCACCAAGCCCCGATATATGCAGTGGAGGGAGACCCTGAGCTCAACTTCCACCCTAGGCTTCCGGATAGAAGGCATCAAGGTGAGGGCTAGGAGAGAGCCAGTTTGTTTGACACTCAGCAGCGTTCTGGGACTGGCACAGTGGACAAGGCTTCTTATGGAGCATGGATGACAGGGAGCAGACCCACATCTTCAGAGTCCAGACAGCCCTGTGTCTGGCAGAGGCAAGGGTTGTTTGCCTACTGGGACATCTTCATGTACATGGTTCTCTTTTCCCCAAGTCCAGCTTTTTCTCTGTCCCAGCCTCCCTGGCCTCCCAAACCTGATCCTCTCCCCGCCATGGTGGAATGCAGTGGCTGGAAGGAGCTTTTTTTAAGTTTTTATTTCATAAATTAAATAGACTTGGAAAGCCAGATGTGGTAGCTTACACCTTTCATCCCCGTGAAGAGGGTTAATGCAGGAGGATTGCAGCTTCAATCTGAGTCGCAGAGTAAGTTCAGGACCAGCCTGGGCAACTTAGGGATACCTTGTCTCAAAAAGAAAAAGTTAAAAAGAAAAAAAAAAAAGAGTCCTGGGGGGTGTAGCTCAGTGTTGGAAGGCTTGTGAGCATGTGTGAGGCCCTAGGTTCAATTCTCAGCAGCACTAAACAAACAAATAAAACAACTAAATAAAGCCTGGAGCTGTAGGATAGTAACAGAGCACTCGCCTAGCAAGTATGATGGAGACTCTTGGTTCAGGATCCCCGTCCCACATCTGTTTGAAGAATTAATCACACAGTCAATAAGGCAGAGTGGCCAGGCGTGGTGGCCCCTGTCACTTGGGAAGTTGAAGCAAGGGATCAGGAGCGTGAGGTCAGCTTAAGCATGAAGAACGTTGGCTTATTTGTTTTGTGGGCCCCGAGCCCTCCCG